TTGGTCAGGGTTGCTGCCCTTGCTAATGCCAGTGGGGGGAGGGGCCTGTCAAGTGCAGGGTTGGGTGGAAGGACAAACAGGGCTGGGGCTGGGACAGGGACAGGGGACACCTGCCCATGAAGCAGGGCCGGAACAGGCATCTGGGAATAGCAAGACATTATGACAAGAACAGTGTTTGTGTCGGGCCAGCTTGGTCCTGGGCCTACTTTGCTTGATGTCTCAGGGTCCTAGCTCTGAGGTGAGAAGGGACCCTGCCTCTGATACTGTTGTGAGGACTCTAAGAAAAAGGCCGGAAGCTGGGCTGGGCCAGTTGGTCAGCGGGAGAGGCCGTCCTGGGCTGGCCACCTGCAGCCTGCTCAACGTTTGGTCAGGAAAGTGGACAGAGGCTGCCTCTGCCTTCCTGGCCATCCCAGATCTGCATCTGGCTGCCTTGTGTGAGACACCAGCGCTCCCGGCCCTGACACCTGCCCTTTCGGGTCCCCAGAGGTGCAGCCCAGATTCACGCCAGGGATGGGGAGGTCTGCTTGGGTACCTGTGCCTTCATCCACGGCAGCCAGCCCTGTCTCCACAGCCCGAGGCTCCAAGGGCTATGCAGGAGCCTGACACGGCAGGGCCAGGTAGCAAATCACTTCTGCTTTCTGGGCTGCTGGTTCCTCACTGGTAAGGCTGTGGTGTTAGATTAGGTCTCTGGTCTTGAAATGCTTGTCTCGGTAGTGGACCCTTTCCCTGGACGTTTTCACTGAAGAAAACTCCCACCCTCACTCTGGGGCCTAGAGCCCAAGAAGCCCTCTCCACAGCGCCTGCCCTCTGTCATTTGTCACTTGGGTCTTGAGGGCAGCCCAGTTAAAGCCCCCAAGCCCAGGCCTTCTGAGCACCTCTGACCGGTGGTAAAAGTGTCCTGTTTGCACGCTCCTGGCTGGCACGGCCGCTGAAGTCGACCCCAGCCTTCATTACGCAGACACCGGAGGAGCCCGCGGCCAGGCAGCCGGCCAGGGTCACGCAGAGGCCACGGGAGGTGGGGTGTCCGCACTGACATCAGCAGCGCCCCAGAGGGACATGCGATCTCTTCACCTCTCAACAACACGCTTGGGGATGGGGAGGAGCCAGCCGCCCCCGCTCAGCCTGTCCTGTGTGTCCCTCGCAGCTGCTGGGCTGGAAACACAGCCAAGTCAAGAGTTCCTCGAATCGTGTTCCAACCAAGGCCGCCCGCTCCAGAGCAAAAAGTACTGGCAGATGTCGGGCACGCAACCCGATCCTCAGGCACCCCCACACACCCCCGGCTGTGGACCCCAGGGGGTGGTGAGCGGTGCAGCCGGGGCTTAGTCCTGGAAAAGAGCCCTGGGTGTGGGGTCAGGGGCGAGACTGGGCTCAGGACGGCCTCTAGCCCCGGGGTGGCCTGGTCAGGCCAGCAGCCCAGGACAAGGCAGCCTCGGTGCCTATAAACTCAGCAGTCGACGAGAGCGGGTGGTGGTGGTGACTGAACTGGGAGATCTGTGGGATGACGATTATACTGAAAATCTACAGTTAATACCAATGGAAAGTGCTTGCTGTGAGCTGCTCTCTGTGCAGACTTCGTGCTCAGAGCTTTGGTGCCCAGAAAAAGGGACCAGAGAGAGACTGAGGTCCACAGATATTAGGGAGAGGCACCGAGCACCCTCGGTGGCCGCCCTGAGCCTGCGGCCCGGACACCCAGCCACGACTGCCATGCGTGCAGCACCCGCAGTGGTGGTGGCAGGGGCGACAGAGTGTAGGGTGTGGGGCGCCATGCTCAGCACAGGGGGCTATGCAAAGGCTGCTGGAGGGGCCCCCCAGGCTGGTGGCCAGGGCGGCAGTGTGTGGTTGGGGACAGAACTGCGTCTAATTCCAGAAGCAGGTGGTGCCACCCGGCACCAGGCTGCGGGCTGGAGTCTGTTTCCTACTCCTTAGGGTGGGGACCTTAGTGACTGGAGCCAGCGGGCCACTAATTTTTGTTTTTTTTTGTTGTTTTCTTCTTTTTGGTGTTTCTTGAGACAAGGTCTCACTTTGTACTTCAGGCTGGTCTTGAACTCCTGGCCATCATCCTGCCTCAGCCTCCCAAGCACCGGGATTACAGGCGTGCGCCACCACCCTTGGCTCATGGCTACTATCTGTGACTGTTGCATTGGCAGTGGGAGAGGAGCTGTGGGGTATTTCAGGACTCTGTCTCCCCAGGAGGTGGGGAACAGGAAAAGGGCCCACAGTGCCAGTCCCGACGCGGGCCAGCTGGACGGGGCGGGGGCGGCCCTTCTCCCCAGCGGGGTACACCTGGGCCTGGCAGCCCGGGTCTGAGCCCTCAAAGGGCTGCCAGTGTGCAGCTGACGGCTGCAGCGCTGTGACCCCAGCAGAGGACGTGGTGAGGGGGAAAGCCGCAGAGGGGCGGCTGTGAGTGGCATCAGACAAGTGTGGTGGGAGAGGCCTCTTCCGACTTCAGCCTTTTCCTTCCCCGGTCCCCTTCCTGGACGCCGCTGTCCCAGGCTGCAGCCCTGCCCAAGATGGATATGGCATGCCTCCACTGCTCCCCCGGGGAGGACATAGTGGGACAATGACACGAACGCCCCCAGAATCCCGATGCCACATGAGGCTCTGCAGGCCTTTATGAGGGCTGGGGGAGGGGGTGATAGCCACGTTCGCCCCACTCCCTGCCCTTCCCGTATGACCTCCCCTATGGCAGTGAGGGCACAGGGACGGCTCGGAAGCTCCCTCAGGGTGACTGAGCGGCCAGGGCACGCATGGGGTGAGAGAGGCTCAGTCTTTCGTTTATTCCGGTGAGGTCTGCTCTGCCCAAGGCCCCTGGGTGCGACTGGCCTGGTGACAGCTGCAGTTTGGGGACCTAAAATGGATACGGGAAACGGAGATAGATCTTCTGCAAAGGGGAAGGGGACCCAGAGATGAAGGGGCGGGAGGGGAAGGGATGTGAAGAGGATGAGGACGCACCCTGTCCAGGCGTCCACTCCCCGGCCGGCGCAGGCAGCACGTACTGCAGACAGGCTCCAGTGACAACAGCCACCGGCTGAGCGCTGCTCTCCGGCGGAGCTCGAGTTTGGGGTGTCCCCGCCAGGCCTCTGCTCGACCTTCTTTCCTCCTAATGTCACTGCCCTTTATCCAGAGCGCAGCCTGCACCTTGCCCCGAGCCTGCTGCCCGCCTGCAGGCTTCCTGAAGCCTTCTGCCCTGGCCCCTGTGCTTCCAGGGTTCACTGCCCGGAATGCGACCCGACAACTAGTGTCAGTTACTCTGATGATAGGACAGATAACCCCTGAAGAAGGTACTTCATGGCCGACATGGTTAAGTGCTCAGTAACTCCCATCCCTCCAGCCACCCTGGAGGCCGGCGTCTGTGTCCCTGTCATTGTGCAGATGAGGCCGTGGAGGCAGAGGGAGCTTAGGTGCCTGGCTCAAGGTCACCCAGCCACTGAATGGCCAACCCAGGATGGAGCCCAGGCTGACACCCAAAGGCTAATCTGTTGTGCTGCCTCTTGGGATGACAGTGACAGCAAGGTGACACTTTGTCATTGGCTGCCAGGACAGACACTACTTGAATACAGCTCACCAACAGACTAAGTCCCATCGGCCTCAGTGTGGCCATTTCAAGCTCATCGACCCGCCTGGACACAGGTCCCCTCTCTGCTTTGAAGAGAGGGTATGATCACCTTCAGCACAGTAAATCCAGGCACAAGAACATCTGTAGAACAAACGTTTGTGGCAGGTGTGGTAGTGCACACCTGTAACCCCAACACTTGGGAGGCAGGAGGGTCACCGTGAGTTGAGGCCAGTCTTGGCTACATAGTGAGTTCAAGGTCAGCCTGAACTGCAGTGAGACCCTGTCTCAAAAAGCAAACAAAACAGCAACGTTGTTTATGAGAGCCCAAAGTGGAGACCCGTGGGGACACTTTCAGCCCCGCAAGCCTGTTTACTACTCTGGCAAATGGGCCTAGTAGTGTCACACGGCGTGAAGTGTTGTAGGTCTCAGTCACTGCGTAACTGGCTCCATCACTCTTGGCGCTGAGCGCGCCTGCCCCAGCCAGCCAGGCAACTGCTGTGCCAGCGGGGCCAGGTGTGCGCGGCTCGGCCCTGGGGGGCTCCTTGCCCGGCTCCTTCCTCTCTGGAAGGGTACACAGGCCGAGACAAACAGACAGGGCCCTGGTGCGGGGCCCCACACACGCCTTGCTCTGCCACCTGACAGTGGGTGGGACATTTTTTTGCTACAGAGGGAGCGGGTCCCACCCTTCCTGGCTCTCCAGCGATCCCTTGATCCCAGTGAGGGCAGGGGATGGGGTAGGTGCCTGTGGGAGGGCACCTGGCAAGGCCTCCGCCAACTGCGGTTAACAAGTGGTAGCACGCAGACCAGGGAAGGCCGCGGTGACCCCGCGCGGGGACAGCCAATGAGATCCCAGGCTGCAGTGGCACCACCGGGCAGCCCGCCTGTCTTTGGCTGCTGCGGCAGCGGGAGGGGCCTGGGCCTGCCAGTCAGGGCTGCCGGCCCTGTCTCCGGGGCGCGGGGCAGATCTGCACTCTGGCGGGGGAGGGGGCCCACTGGGGACGGGGGACTCGGCTTGAACTTCGCTGAGCTCCTGGGGAGGAGGCCGGCTGTGGGCATGAGGGAAGGTGGCTGGGAGGACCGCAGCTAGAGATGGACAGAAAAGCTTTCCCCCACGGCTGGACCAGGAGCGGGCTGCCCAGGCCGGGGAGGGAAGGTGCAGGGTGTGCTCTGCTCAGGTCTGCAGTGAGGGGGGCGTGGGGAGGGACTGGGAACAGCAGAGGGTAGGCCTGAGGTCAGGGACACAGGCCCCACACTCCCACCTAAAAGCCACCTGCCCCTTCGCTTTGCCCGGATGGAGCAGGCCTGGAACAGCACTTGTGACTGCAGCGGTCGTCAGCCTGGGCCAGCGGGGCAGTCAGGCTTGAACTGTGACCTGCGCCGGGCAGTGACGGCGGCCAACAGGTGCCTGCCCCACCCCTGCCCAACTCGGACCCACCAAGGCCAATCACATAGTAAACATGTATTTATAGATGTACAACTTCAGAATTCTAATTCAACAAATACAGCCTCTTAGAGGACCCTTTAGGATCTACGTTCTTATTGCACATAGCTCAGCCTGTCTAGGGACAGCGAGCGACCAGGACCAGACGGGGTGCCGTGGCGGAGCGCCAGGGCCACTGCGGGTGTGGCACGCTCGTCTGTGTTGTTCTCATGATCTCTGGACGAACGGCCGCTTCGTTGCAGGGTGTGACCCTGTTTAAAAACCAGATTCAATGTTTCCTTTCCAAATTTCTTTTCCCAGCAAGTCTCCTATTTTGGGGGGTACTTTTTAAAAAAGAGCCAAGAGAAACTGTGGGAGGACAGTTACCAGCTCGTGGCTGGCAGTTTGGGGACTAAGGCTTTGGAAACGGGAGGCTCCACAGCACACCCACCGCCACAGAAGACCTCTGGAAAAACGGCAATTCCAAAAGGCCTGGTATAAATGTGGAAATAAATAAAACCCCCACCCCCTGGCAACAACCGCTGCTTTGAGAAAAATCCTCATTTGAAGGGGAGGGTAAAAAAAAACCGTTCTGGTTCAGATACATCCTTCCTCCACCACGCAAGAGAAGGCCTGGTGGTGACATCCACGGCGGGTGATGATGGAGGCGCCCCAGGCATGGACTTCTCTTCGTGGGTCAAGCTGCTGTCCTGGGCTGATTCTGGGAGGAGGAGCCTTCTGGAGTCCTTGGTATGCGACTTAGGAAAACCAGTGGCACTGATGGAGCTGTGCCCTGTGGTACCTCTAAGGCAAAATTCACTTGGGGACTTGGGTGGGGAGTCAGGCAGAACCTGGCCCCTCTCTAAGCCCTGCAGGGCCCTGGCTCAAAGGCTCCTGGAACCAGGACTAAGAACTGGCCATAGGGGCAGCAGCTGGCCTGGGAGAACCATGGCTCAATACCAAGCTGGTACCTGCTCCTGGGCCATCTTTCTCCCCCCACAGCCTGCTTCTTCTGCAGCTCAGTATAACCCTGGCAACCTGCAAAGTTTACTATGGATTTATACCATGATTACTGCTGCCATCCGGGACGATCTGGCATTGGGGGGAGAGGGGACATTGAAGGCATAGACCCGTCTTTTCTTATGCTGTCAGCGATAGCTGATGTCTGCTTTGGAAGGGCCAGGCTGCCTTCTCCAAATAGGGCTCATCTTTTAACAGAGAGGCAATCAGCTGAACAACTTAGCCCAATCACTGCATAGTTTAAAAAGTAGACTATATATATATATATCTTTATATATGCCTATTTACATATAAATAGATATATATACATCACACTCATCTCGAAGTTACATTCTGTGGATTCTTCTTTCTGCTCTCTACCCTGGGCCAGCTCCCCACTCAGCTCCTCCTGCAGGTGACTGGCGGGGGTCCTGGGGGAGGAGAGGCGGCTGGGCAGCTCCTCCCCCAGCCCTTCACAGCAAGTTTTACATTCTACTTTCGTTGCCATGGTTTCTGTATCCTAGGCGCAGGCGATGCAGAGCCTCTGCCAGCCCTGGAGGGAGGGCAACAGCCCCGTGGCAGGTTTTCTGTTTGTCCTAAGAGCTTTCTGCATTTACTGGGCGAGAGAGAGGGCAGCTGTGCGGTGCTCGGCCTCCAATGCCATTTTAATTTTTTGTCTTTGTATGTCTTTCCTTAAATACACAGTCCGTCACCTTGGCTCAGTGAGTGTCACCAGAAATTCTCCAGGGATTTCATAGTCTGGGGAGGAAAGTGGGTACAGTTAGCTGGGAGGTCTCGGCCCTCCGCCTCCAACTTAGCCGCACAAACAGGCAGCCGCCCTGCACCGTGAGCGGCCATGCACCTGCTCCGCAGCAGGATCGGAGCCGAAGGGTCACAGGCGAGGGGGCGGCGGGCAGGCGCCGATGCAGAGCGCAGCCCCACCAGCTCCACCCGCACCGCTCTGCGCTCAGTCCGGGCTGCACGCTCTGGGGCGCTGGGAACACAGCCCACTACCCACATGCAGCAGCAGGAGGCGGCGCCCGCTGCCAGCCACTTTCGTTTTCTCCCCGCCCCTTCTGGGCTGAGTGGCTGCATCTGACCCTGAACTCGTGACCTTCTGTTCCCTTCCTCAAACCACAGGCCAGATGCCGGGCGGGGCCGGATGCCTGTGGCTTCCAGGCTGCCAGGTGCAGGCTCTGGAGCCCCACATCCCACTTCGGGAGCAGCAGCTGCAGGCTCTCCTGCCCCCCGTCGGCTGCCCTGTCGTCGGTCCCAGGTCCTCCTCCCTGGAAGGATGCAGGAGGGGCGCGCTCCAGCCCCCAGTTCTTCCTGGTAGTGGGTGGTTCTGCGTGAGGGGCCTGTCTTGAGCCCAGCAGTGTCTGGTGCCACGGGCACTCGCCAACTGTGCGCAGGAAAGGACTGCGGTGGCTCGACGGCACGAGTGAACCATGGAGCCCCTGAGGGACCCATCAACAGCGGTGGGCTCCACCTGTCTGGCTCTTGGGCGCCCACAGCCCGAGGGCCGGGGAAGAGAGCAGGGCAGGGGCAGCAACAGACACGGCCCGGGCTGTGACCGCCCCACTTCGTGTGGGCCCCAGAGCCGCCGCTGGAGCTGGGGGCAAGGCTGGGGGCGTCATCATCAGGCTTCCTCCCTCCCTCCCTGCCTCACGACCAAGGCCAAAGCTGCCAGGAGTTGCAGGACGGCGGCAGCCCTGGCTCATACTTGGACCTGGCTGGCGTGGATGGCCCAGGACTATCCATGCAGGGAGGCTTGCACCTCTGACAGCCGGCTGCAGCTCGGAGTGCCCATCTTCTGCGCTCTGTGGTACATGTCTGTGTCGCCGAAGTAGCGGGCCCGGTACAGCAAGCCTTCCTCTGCAAAGCAACGGGGCAGGGTCAGGTACGTGCAGCGCCGCCCGGAGCCTGCCAGGAGGCCTGCCAGGGCCTGTGAAGGCAGGAGGCAGGCAGAGCAAGGCTGGAAGAGGCCCAGGGGCTTGGGCGAGCTGGCCCTGTGAGGAAAGAGCTGGCCCTGGAGGAGCAAAGCCTGCGGTGCTCCTTTGGGAGTGGCATGATCCAGGCCGCTTCCAGTAGGTCTGGGTGCACGAGCCGCGGATGGCCAGAGTGCCCCAGTCGTCTCCACGTACTCACCCCCGGCCACCAGAACAGCGGGCTGACTGCAGCAATTTATGGGAACCTGCAGGAATCGCCAGGTGGTCTGGGCTGGCACAGCCTGCCGAGCGTGGGGTGAGTAGGGCTTCCTTCCCTGTTCAAGTTTGGTTCCTTCCACCCTCCCAAACACCACACACACACACACACACACACACACACACACACACGCACACACGCACACATGTGCGCATGCAAGCTCACTTTGCTGCTTTTCCTTCCAGCAGTTGTTCCGGAGGTTGGCGATGTAGTCGTCTTCCACGTTCCGCTCAACCGTCTTGAGGCTGGCGCCCGTGTACTCCTCCGAGAAGGTGTCTGCCACGTAGTAGACGACACTCAGGTGGTCAGTGACTCGCCTGTGGATGTGGCCCACCGAGCTGGCCAGAGAGCATACGAAGTATAAAGTGTGCCCAGGTGCCCAGGCCCAGGGCAACTGGAGGGGCGACAGGGCCAATGACAGGAGGTGCCACACGGGCACAGGAGTAGCTGGTTCCCTCCCACATGGCCCAGCGCGAAGGGCTGCGGAAAGGCCAGTGTCCCTGCTGCACTGTGGCCCGGCCACTCTGCCACCACCCCGGGGGCCTGTGAGGAGCCGTCTGGGAAGAGGTCCTGGTCCGGGAAGCTGGGGCCTGGAGGAGGTGTGGGCTCTGTCTCCTGTGCCTCCGTTTCCCCATCCACCCCCCAGGTCCGCTGACGCTGAGAGCCCGCCTGCCTCACCAGCAGCATCTCGCCTACAGTTTAGAGCCACAGGGGCAAAAATGACAAGGCTGGGCTGTGGCGAAGGAACAGAGCCTGTGCAGAGTGTGTCCAAGGCCTTGGGCTCCTCAGCACCAAAGGAAGGAGCAACACCCCCTGGGGGATTCCAAGGCGCTGAACCCTCCCAGTTTCAACTGTAGGCTCTGCAGGATTGGGAGAGCCTCCACATGCACACAGAGCCGCTGCTCCCAGAATGAATGTCCCCAGCCATTCCATCCAGGAGGGACTGTTCCCTGCCAGCCGTGCTGCCCCTCATCTCTCCATCCACAGGGAAAGGGGCTGGCATCCAGCCAGAGAGGCTGAGCCGCTTGCAGCTATGGGGCCTGTGGGCCAACTCTGCCCCCTGCTGGTTGGGAGGCAGCCTGCCAGCCCTCGTCTCCCAGCAGAGCTGGGCAGGAGCAGGAGCTTCGGGAAGGGAAGCTGAGCACCCAGTGGGTCTCAGATGCTGGAAGGAAGGAGGGAGCTGACAAAGGATCAATAACGCGTCCAAATTCACTATGGGCAGCTGAGACCAAGTACTTATTCAACAAGTATTGTGCACCATTTCTAATGAGCTACACACGTCAATGCACTACTCATTAATTTTCACAAGCATGTGCACTTATCATTCCTATCTTATAGCTGAGGAAACCAAGGCTATGCACCTTGCCTAGGGTCACAGCTTCTTGGAGAAGGGGATGCTCAGAGCCCCCTGATGCTCACTCTACAGCCCCTGTGCTTTCCAGGTCTCAGGGCCACAACCAGATTTCTTCTTTTTTTTGCAGAGGTGTGGATGGAACCAGGGCCTCACACAAGCACTGCACCCGAGCCACCCCCCAGCCCCTTAACAGGAATGTAAGAACAGAGGTTAATTTCAGGGTCAGCAAGTAAGACAGGAGTGGGAGGGAGTTACTGAGCCTCGGATCACACGTAAATAGTGTGTGCCCTGTTCTGGGGAAAAGGTCTGCGGGTTACACTGCCTTTTCTTAGGGGGCCATGATCCTAAAACGATTAAGAGGCCCAGCTTGAGAGACTGTTTCTTGTTCCCATTTCTTTTCCTTTTCCCGATCCCTTTTCCTCCCCTCCCCTCCCCTCCTCGCTCCCTTCTTTCCCTCTACCTTCTGATGCTGGAGAAAGAATCCAGGGCCTACACACTGTACTACACTTCAGTGGGCTAGGGTCTCACTAAATCACTAAGTGGCCCAGGATGGGCTCAAACTTGCAATCCTCCTGCCTCAGCCTCCTGAACCACTGGGTTGGTTACAGGTGAGCTTCACCACACCTGGTTGACTGTGTTTCCTTTACTCTAAGCCAGCTTCCTGCACTATGTTCAGGAACCCAGTTGATCCAGGTGGCAAAGAAGGCCCTGATGAGGTTGAGATTCCAAAGCCCCAGTTTGGCCGGCCACCCTGACCCAGCCCTCAGAGCAGGTACTCACGGTCTTGGGCTCAGACTGTAGGGTGGACTGGAGACCATGAGCTGGCTGAGGGCTGACACAAGGATCAGGATGAGGATAGGCATCAGCTGGACAAATACCCCGAGCCCGCCCTGCAGGAAGAGCTACCGTCACCCAGCTGGCCACACCCGCCACCAGCTCCTGGGCATGATGGAGCCCAGGCAGCCAGGACACCCCCAAGTACAGAAGCTGCTCCACCTGCCAGCTTTCCTAGAGAAGTGCACAGCAGCCGCGGGAGCGGGGTGTGCACTGGCTTGTGAGGGGATCCCCGCCTCCACAGCACTGGCTGCCTCCAACACAGGGCAGGGCTGCGCGGAGGCCTTTCCTCCACGTCCATTTCTGAGTTGTGAGCCGTACAAATACACTAGCAATTAAAAAGCTGGAAATAGGGCCAGGGGTGTAGCTCAGTGGTTCAGCCTTCACTTAGCACAGGCCCCAGGTTCAATTCCCAGGACTGGAAAAACAAAACAAAAACCAAAACAGAAATGACAATTAATAAATTCACTGTGTGGCTGGGTGTGGTGCTCGCAGTGATCTTCCTGCCTGAGCCCCCTGAGTGCTGGGATTACAGGCGTATGCTACCACACCTGCCTAATGGCTTCTCCTAATTGCTATCTCTTAATTACTAATTAGAAGATAAATCTAATTCCTTTCAATTTTATTCAATAAACACTATTGACTACCTACTGCAAAGTAGGCCGTGGGTTTCCCACAATAGGTGAGGCTGCACCACAAGTGATCTTGGGAAATAATTCTCTTGAGGAAAAAAAATGTGACCCATGGGGGCTGAGGCACGAGGATCACTTCGAGTCTGAGGTCAGCCTGAACTACACAGCAAGACCCTATTTTTTTTTGGCACTGGGAATCAAACTCAGGACCTTGCATTTACCAGGCAGGTGTTTATGCCACAGAGCGGTATCCCTGGCCCCACACCCTGTTTAAAAAAAAAAAAAATTCACCCTGTGATACTTTGTAATTCTAGAAACTCTTCTGTATGTTAAATACAAAATAAGTTTTAAAGAAATGAACAAAGAAACTGTCAGAACATGAGGACCCTTTGCTGCCAGCCTTTTAAATGCTTTGCAATACCTGAATGCCAAGCCAGCTATAACCTGTGGCTTGAAAAATGTGTTTGTGCTGGGAGTGGCAGCACAGGCCTGGAATCCCAGCATTTAGGGAGGACGAGGCAGGAGGACTCCAAGTTTGAGTTCCACCTGGGTAATTCAGCCAGCCCCGTCTCAAAGAAAAGGCTAAGCTACAGCAGCTCCATGGTAGTGTACCCCTGGGTTTGAGCCCCAGTACCACAAGCCAAAAACAAAAAGTGGCAGAAGCACCATTCAGAGCTTCTGTGTACATTTTTCAGGAGTGCTGAAAAGCATCTGTGCTGGCATTCTTTATAACTCTTGGGAAGCGTAACTCTCTGTTGCTTGGAAAATGTCACTTTGGCCTCACAGACAAATGGACCACACAAATACCAGGGCCTAACTGGAGGTGGAGGAGTTTCTGCTTTAGTTCCAGCAGAGGCCAGCAAATCCCTGCAACCCTGGCAAGGAGGATGGAGTGTGGCTCCCTCTGGTGTCTCCCAGCAGAATGGCGAGCGGGAGCCAAGAGGGCTCCTGGTGGAGCATTGTGGGACACCCCGGGGCCCAGAAGGGACAGTGGGGGATGTCACTGCCTCCTCGGGCCCGCACCCTGGGGTGGGCGCCGAGCCCACCCCTGCTCTTGCCAGTCCCTTCTTCACTCACGTCACCCTGGTTGTCCCTGCGGTCCTGCCTTTGCTGGTAGGTGTAGCGCATGCGGCCGTTGCTGTACACGTGGACGTTACCTGGGGTCAGAGGGACCGAGTCAGGGTAATGGGAGAGGTGGACACCTGGCCTCTCAGCACCCCCAGCTGTGGGAGGGTGGGGAACTTACTAGAAGGAAAGCCACCTCCAAAGAACATGTTGAAGAGGTCTTCGGGGGAGATGTCGGCCTCAAAGCCACGGTGGAAGTCCCCGTGCCCGTGGCCATGCCGGGCAGCCTGGCCCTTGTCATCACCAAACTGGTCATACTGTTTCCTTTTCTCCGGGTTGCTAAGCACCGCGTATGCTGTGCCAATGGCTGTAAAGGGGACAGAAAGGTCAGGCCTGAGAGGCCAGCGCTGGCTTTCAGCCCAGGGGGTGCCGTGGGGTCCTCGGGGTACAGGTGGGGTGGCGTGTGCAGGAGGAGCGCGGACGCTGGAGGGCGGGGCCTGGGCTCTTGGCGGTCCCCCTGCACCCCGTGTGGCAGCCCTCGCCTGTGCTGCCTCAACTGCTCCTAACAGCAACCTCGATACCATTCCATCCAGGGGAGCGCTGAGGCCCCGGGAAGGTGGGGCACTACTAGGCTCACCTGTCTCTGAGGCTGCAGGCGCGCCTTGCCTCCAGCTTTCCGGCTGATGTTACAGAAACCACCGAAGCCCTCCCCTCACTCGTCTCCCCTGAGATGCCCACGGGGATGGGCAGCCCTGCCTGGCGGTAACAGAACTTGAGTCACGGTAAGACATGGGCCAGGCAGACACATGAGGTCTCTGTGCAGACTGGAAGGCAGCGAGGACTGACGGGAAGGGCCGGTCCCTGGCTTCTGGTCAAGGCTGCGGCTGGTGGGATGGCCAGGGAGAGTCTCCTTCTCCCTGGGTCCAGGCCCCAGCTGTTTCCTACCCGGCCCTGGGACCTCCCCTCCAGAGCTTCCTGGCAGGGAGTCCATGTCCCCAAGGCCACCAGCTCTGAGTCTTCCCCAGGCTCCAGCTCCTCAAGCTGCCCCCTTGCTCACAGCTGCATCTGCCCCACAGCCTGACAAGGCACCACTGCCACCTCCAGCCCCTGGGTCCTGCTGAGCGGGTGCAGGAGGGACGTTACCCACAGTGGTCCTGCCCCCTGCGCATTCTCCTCCTCCCTCTGGGGCAGCCCCAAGACAGAACATCAGCCGTGCGGGCTGCCTGCTCCTAGCGCTACACTGCACGGTGCCCAGGCCTGGTGGTGCCAGTCCTATGCTGTCCCCAGAGAAGACAAGGTGGGAATGAGAAACTGCAACCCGGGGTGCCATGGTGTCAGTTCACATGTGTGCCTGAGAGGGTGAGTGCAAACCTAAATGGATAAGGGTGGCTTGATTTGGGGCGGAAGTGATGCACCCTTTCCCATGAGCCCAGAGGCCAGAGACGGCGGGGTCCCTACTGTGCCCGGAGGTACAGACCTGTGGAGAGACACCTGAGTTGGGGCTGCTGTGCCCCTCAGCTTACAGTGAGCTGCGCCTGTCCTGGTGCTGTGGGACCGAAGAGCCACTAGAAGTGTCTTGCCTCAGGCCCCACCTAGAGTGCCAGGAATGAGGAAGGGGGCAGGAGGCGCGTTGTGAACTCTGACAGAGTCTGTGTGGCTGGAGGTGGCCACTACGACCTTGGGAAGTAAAACCTGAGCTTGTGGAGCTAGGCCTGAGACTACTAATTCCTGCAGGCCCCGTGATGCTGGGACCCCAGGACCCCTCACCTTTGAAGGCTTCCGTGGCGCCAGGGGCATGGTTCTTGTCTGGGTGGAATTTGAGGGCCAGTTTGCGGTAGGCCTTCTTCAGGTCCTCATCCGAGGCTCCTCTGCTCACCCCTAGGATCTCGTAGTAATCCTTACACTGCTTGACTCTGGGAGGGGAGAAGAGCACGAGAGGGCTGCTTTACTCAGGCCACCAGCAAGGAACTGCCGACCGCCTCTTGGGGCGAGCGACAAAGGAGCCACAGCGCGCTCCAGCCGGGATGGGGGCTGGACAAGGCCGCGTGCAAACACCAGGAACACATTTAGGATTTAAGGGGGCAGCTGCTGCCTTGAGCCAGGTGAGCACCCACATCCCTGTGCTCACAGGCAAGGTCGGAAGGACTGTCACTGTCTATCACCCACGGGCAGGTGACATTGTTCACCCAGCTGTACCCCTTCTTGGCAACCTGAGTCTCGAGTGGGTAACATAAGGGCCGGAAACGGCAGGTGTGTGTCCACCCCAAGCACACAGCGGTGAGAAACCCTGGCTCCCCTCCACCAGTTCTTACTTTTGGGTCTCTGAAGACTCCAGTTTTTGGCCTTGGGACTTTCCAAACCCCTCACCCACAAATGCCAAGCTCGTCTGGCTAAGCCTGGCCTGGTTTATGGCAAACTACAGCTGGCACTCCTGGTCTTGAAGCTTGCCAGGAGGTGCGAGTGTGACCTCAAGAGTGTTCCCGAGGCTAGCTGGTGGGGACAGTATAGTCCTGAGAAGCCCCGGCCCAGCTGCCCCTGGCCTGTATTGAGCTACTCTGCACAGGGCCTGCCTCCAGCCTCTACTCCGCCCCAGCAGGCTCCAGGCTAACAGGGCGTTGCTGGGCTGGGGAGACTCTGTAGGCAAGCTCTGTCTCTGTCTGACAGAGCTGTGTAGAGGCCTGGGGCCCCCGGGCCAATGGCAGAGCATGGCAGCGGTGTCAGCGTTTCCACCTCTGCTGTGGGCGGACAGTGGGGCCCTGCTTCCCAGTGTCCCAGGGCCTTACGGGACGAAGTGGACCTCCCTCTCCCTCCTCCAGGCAGAAGGGGGCACTGCGCAGCGGGAAGCCCGCAGGTGGCCCCAGGACGCAGGGCTCGGGCCTGGCCACACCTTTTCACAGCCGCCACCTGCTCTGCAGTGTAGCCTTTGGTGCTCTCTCCTCCTCCTCCTCCTCCAGCTTCGCCATTGGCCGAGGGGGCGTCACTCCCGGCTGCTTTCCTGTGGGACGTGTGGCTGGCATCTGTGGGATGGGCTTGTTCACCAGCAGACTGTGGTTTCTGGTTGAGGGACTCAATCAGAGCTGTGGACAGCAAGGGAACCGTTGAGGGCTCCTTCATGACAAGGCTGCGGGTCTCGGCCCTGGGTCATCCGGGCCCCTGCCCCTGCCACTCCCCTCCAGCAAGGCCGCTGGGCCTTCCCTGCTGGGGCCTGTGGTGCCGGCACGAGTCACCTGCTTTCTAGGGAGCTGGAGTGCCGGGGACCGGAGGCTACAGGTCTTTTTATTTCCCACATTAATAGTGTGAATTTTATTAACAGTAAACACACGTAATCCGTGGACGAGTGTGAAAGAATTGCCTTATTTTCAGATATCCTGTGTGCATGTGAATCTAAACAGAATTTTGATATCCTGATAATTTTTCAGAAGCACATTTGGGTTTTATTAACAAACCCTGCAGCATTTGATGTAGAGTTCATTTAATTCTACTTTACTTCTTTCAGTGTAGTTGTTTGGTTTTAGTGCTGCTCTTTTTTTATGAATCCATTTTTTTCTCTACTGAACTCACTCAAACCGATATATGCTTCTTTTCTGCGCTGGAATATCTAAAATATTCAGTCCTTGTACTATCCCCTGTTGTTTTTTATTTTTATCCTTGGTGTTTAAAATCCTTTAATATTAAATTAATATTATTAGTACAAACCGATTACATTGATATCTAGTTAATTTTAATGTTTCCTAGCTTAAAAAATTATGCTTTTCAATGTAATTGTTTATTAACACAGTATATCAGAGGTATAAACTATTTAATGTCCCTAGTTTAGATTTAATAGTATCATTCCCTTTTAATTCAGGACATGACAGTTTTTTCCACTGTGATAAAAAACATAAAATTTACCCTCATTTCCTAAGCACACAGTTGTGCTATTGGGATATGTGTCTTTCTTTTTTCTTTTGAGGTGGGGTCTCCCTGTATAGTTCAGGCTGGTGAGTAACTTACCATGTAGCCTTGAACTTGAAGGGATCCTCCCGCTGCAAGCTCAGGTGCTGGGAGTATAGGGATGCCGCCATACTTAGCTTTTATTTTTTGAGGTAGGGTCCCACTACATAGTCCAGACTGACCTCTAACTCACGATTCTCTTCTTTTTTTGGTATCAGAAATCGAACTCATGACCTCAGGCTTGCCAGGCAAGCGCTTATGCCGCTGAGCTATATGCCCAGCCACGATTCTCCTCCTAAGTGCTGGGATCACAGCCATGTGCCACGATGTCTAGCTTCATTTTTATTTATTTTGCTTTTTGCAGTGCCAGAGATTAAACCAAAGCCTCCCTTGCTTGCCCGACAAGTACTCTACGACTGAGCTACAACTCCCAGTCCTAAGTCATTTTTATCTATTTTTTTTTGTTTTGTTTTTACATTTCTTTCTTTTTTTTTTCTTGGTATAGTACACGTAAGCAGTACATAATCATTACATTCACTGTGGGTGGGAGTTGGTACACGTACATAACACACAGTAGATCTTTTTAAACTCAGCAGAAGCAAGCAAGCAAGCAAGCAAACCATGAACCATATTCGTTTCAAGCCCCAAAGCCATGTGATCCACAGACAGCTCTGCTGAGGGTTGAGATGGCAGGGTCGTCTGCCGTGGGGATGAGCTTAGCGGGCCCGTATGACTCAGTGGTTCTGGTGGGAAGGGCAATTCTCGGAGGCCTTCACTTAACAGCGAGGAGGAATGAGGGAAACAAGTTTGTCCCAGAGGGCAGCGATGGTGTGAGACTCAGGAAGAATGCCTGCTGCATTCACTGCTTGCTACTGACTGGTACATTTTCCAAATGCTGGCCATGCAAATGTCCTACTTCAATGTTTGGGCTCGACACGGGGCATGCCCCGTCACCCTGAGGATCCTATTATTCAAGTCCAAGTTATTCAAGTCCAAGTCGTTGGTTCCTGCTGACTCAGTGAGGAGGGGCTCATATCCTTGGCCTAAGTCCTGTGTGCCCGTTTATTCCAGGCACAAAACCAGTTCAGAAAACCCCACTCACGCTGGGCCACAGAGCCCTGGATAGTGAATCCCAGAGCCTCTGACCAGCTCCTGGGAACCCATGAAGCCAGGGTGGTCACACAGCTGGACTAGGGCCAGCTTCCTTCCAGGCTGCTGTGCTCAGGGCACCACATTGGGCGCCAGACACCCTCCCCCATCCACACCTGGGCCTCACCAGGTAGTATTACAGTGTATTATGGTAATCACTCCCATCACAGGGCGCTCACGGGTCAGGCAGGCACTCTCCTTGTGCTCACTCTGCAGGGCCTAGCTCATTTAGTCCTCAAAAAAGCGTAGAAGAAAGGTCCCACCCCCTACCGCCACCCCCACACAGCTGGTTAAGTGACAGAGGCAAATTTGAACCCCAGGATGTTCAGCTCCAGCATCCTTGCTCTTAACACTGCTGCTATCCCAGCCTACAGCTGTCTGAGAGAGCCCAGGCCAACGCAGTCGTTCTGAATACAGAAGAAATGTTAACTTCAGAAAGGACCAGATTTAGCTAAGCACGGACACATGCCTAAAGTCCCAGCACTCAAAAGGCTGAAACAGGAGGATCTCAAGTTTAAACCTCATCTGGGCAACTCAACAAGACCTCCTCTCTTTTTTTTTTTTTTGGTTTTTCTCCAGCACTGGGAACCGAACTCACGACCTTGCGCTTGCCAGGCAGGCGCTTTTGCCGCTGAGCTAAATCCCCAGCCCCAACAAGACCTCCTCTCACAATAAAAAAAAAAGGGATGGGGATATAGCTCAGAGTGAAGGCTCCAGTACTGGAGGTGGGGTCGGGGGAAGAGTCACCAGCACTCTGCAATCCTGTCTCATCTATAAGAGCTGTCTGCATCTGTTTCCTCACGATGGTGGATGAGGCTGAAGTAAGACAGTGCATGTGACATGTGGCACAGAGACACGTTCCAAAGGAGCAGCTGTTAAGGTCACGGCCTAGACCAGTGGTGATGAACCGAGGGCTCACGTGCCGCAGTGGCTGTCTGTACCACTGAAGCTCTGAAAGGTTCCCATCGTTGACAGATGAACTGCACAGGCGTGGGCTAGCAGGGCAGGGCAGGGCCGGGCCAAGGCCGAGAAAGCTTTGCAGGTTCTGCATGGTGACACTTCAGGCTGTCCCCGTGCCAGGCCCGAGGGACAGCAAAGGAGGAAAGCAATGGATGATGAAATGGAGGTCCAGATGGGACTGGGCAGAAGTTGCTTATTTATTTATTTAGTTTTTTGAGACAGGGTCTCGCTATGCACTTCAAGCTGGCCTTGAGCTCACTTTGTAGCTCAGGCTGGCCTCGAACTTGAAACAATTCTCCTGCCTCAGCCTCCCGAGTGCTGGGATTACAGGCCTGCACCACCACGCTTGGCCAGAAGTTGCTTATTTTGGATTCTCTGGAAGTTCCAGGGGTTCAGGCTGAGGCTGAGATTTCCTCAGGGCAACATAACTAGACATCCAACTGCCACAGATATGGAGGTACACTGGCCAAGTGACGGGATGGGCTCTCTCCAGTTCCTCTCAGGGAAGGTTCTGGAAGACTTGGAGCCCTGGAGCCACTCTTAACTTTCCTACACTGCAGAAAGAGAAGCCAAAGGGGAAGGGCTGAGCTCTGGGTCACATGAAAGGTTCCTGACTGAGTTGGAGACTGAAGATTTTTGGTTGCTGGAGACAGGTCACTCTTGTGGCCTGGACTTGTCCTTGCCAGGCCTGTGGGATATGCCTGCCTCACTTGACTCACCATGACACCCCTTATGACACAGCAGCTGACAGGCAACGACACCAACAGAGACAGAACAGCCTGAAGTTAACCCTGGCCCTGCCCCACCCGGCAGAACCAACAGGCCTTTAAAAAGAGGGGAAATCGGAGAAAGAGAGGAACTGTGGGGGAGAGGGCAGCTGAGGCGGAGGTGAGAGGGTTTCTATGCCCCTCCTCACACCGACTGGACAGGCAGACCGCCCACTGGCTCCCACTTGGCTCTGCCCCTTGCTAGCAGGGTCACCTGGCCAGGCTAACTTAGCTTCTCCAGAAAGAACTGTCCTTCCCTCCCAAGGGCTGGGAGTCCTGGCCCATGGACAGGACTAGCAGGGTGCCCAGCACACACGAGAGTGACCTGCTACTGTCACTTTTGTTACTAGGCAAGTGGCTGACTTCAGGTTCTGTGTACCTGCAGCGCTCGAAACGAGCCAAGGAAAGAAGAGGTCAAAGCAGGGAAAGAGCCCTGGACTGCAGTCAGCTCTGGGTCCTTTCTTACTCTGCTCTGTGTATCTGCCAAGTTATCTAACTCCTCAGGGAGGATATGATCCTTGCCCTCACAGCAGTGCTCTGAGGGGCAAATAAGAGTCAATAGCCGGGCATGGTGGCGCACGCCTGTGATCCTAGCACTCGGGAGGCTGAGGCAGGAGGATCATTGAGTCCCAGACCAGCCTGGGCTACAAAGTGAGCTCAAGGCCAGCCTGAACTGCATAGTGAGATCCTGTCTCAAAAAAAAAAGAGTCAATGAAACAGCCAGGTGTGGTGGTGTATCACATGTGTCATCCCAGCACTCAGGAGGCTGAGGCAGATGGACCGCCATGAATTCAAGGCCGGGCTGGGTTACATAGAGAGACCCTGTCTCAAAACAAAACCTAACTAAAGGCCAATGAAATAAAGCGACTGAAGGGTTCAGTGTGCAGTGGGGCTCATGAAGGTTGACTGATTTAAATGGACAACCCACCCTGGCCTAGCCAGTCCTGGAGTATCTCTCACACCTAGACCCTGAATGCCAAAATCCTTCGGCAACTATCCCCCTCCTCCCTGTGGGCTGGCCCTCCCAACTTGGTCTGGACCCCAGTCAGCCACTTCATAGAAGCTCAGTCAGCCTGAGCCACCAGGACCTTAGAGATCATTGAGGCAAACCCTCTCTTTGTATGCTGGGGAAACCGAGGCTCACAGATGCTTTTATGAACTCCAGGAAGAGCTGGTATTTTTCCACCATTGTTGCTAAGTCTCAGACAAAGCTAAGACTGTGAGGCAGCCAGGTCCTGGTAGAAGCTGTCAGAAAAGGACTAACTGGCAAGGCATGGTAGATAGCACACACTTGTCATCCCAACACTCTGAAAGGCTGATGCAGGAGGGTCACAAGTTCACGTTCAGCCTGGGGAACTTAGTGAGACCCTATCTCAAAAAAAAAGGCTGGGGATGTAGCTCAGGGCCAAAGATGGAACTCAGCGCTCAGTTTCATCTTTAGAATGGGCAGCACTATGGAGTCGGGGAGATGGAGAAAGAGAAAAACGAACTCGTTCGATCACCTTTGCTCTTTGACCTCCCAATTTATGGCCCCAGTACTGCTTAACAATGCAACCGTCCTGCCAATGGGGCCTCCGTGTCCCACCCCCACTGTGGGACCTGAGGGTCCCCTCGCTCCCTTTTCACTGAGGCCAACACTGCGGGGTCCCGGCCCTTCAAGTTGCTGAGCCCTCCCACCATCTGTCCTTCCGCTCCGCCAAGGCCTCCCCCGATGGCCGCATCACCCCCGGGTGTGTCCTGACTTGTCCGTTCCCCTGCGGCCTCTGCAGCTCCGACAACACTGCTCAGCACCTCCTTGACAATGCTTCCCATGGCTACGGCTGCTGCCCTCTCCGGGGACTGCTCTTCCAGCCACGGCTCCAGCTCCTTCTGTCACTTCCTCTGCCTCTGTCCACTGGCTAAGGGCAGCTGCGGCCCCCCGCGGTGCCCAAAGCAACAATTTCTCCACAGTCCACCCCTTCCCACAGCGACCTCAGCCTGCACGCCGCGAGCGCAGGTCCACAGCCCTTCACCCGGAACCTGGGCTTCCTCCCGGCCGCACGCGGACCGCGCACCCGGGCGAGGCTATCTCCCACTCTACCTCTTCGCCTTGGGCCTCTTCCTGCTCGAGCAGCTTCCGCTGTTTCCCAGCACCCCAGCTAACTCTCCCGAGCGGCCCCTGTCTCTCACAAAAGCGTGCAGCCACCTCGCCAGCAACCTCACTCTTATCCACGCTCCCTTCTCCTGGGCCCTCAGAATTTCTAACCTGCTTGTGGCCTTCGTCTCCCAACTGTTTTCTGCCTCGAGTCTCGTCCCTCTCACCTGTCTACAAAGAGAACAGTTCCTGACCTTTTTCTGTCGTCACAAACTTCAACAGGTTTTCTTGATAACTACAGAATAAACTGAGTCTTCTGGCCTGGTGGAAAAGGAGTTCCATAACCTGGCCATTTTACTTCCAACTTGAATCCTCTATACAAATTTTCTTTCACTTGCACTGCCTTGAAATCTTGCTACATATAATCCTCTCCCCAAAACCTCACAACTTGGTTTCCATCTCTTCCCAGCATGCCTTTCCCGAGTCTCATGTCTTCCTCCAAAGTGCAGTGCAAATGCCGCCTCTTGTCCTACTCCTTAAAGCCTTTCCCTCAGTGAGATAATTTTTTTTTGGAGACAGGGCTTTGCTATGTAGCTCAGGCTGGTCTTGAACTGGTGACGGTTCTCGCACCTCAGTCGAGGGCTGGGTTTACAGGTGTGAGCCACCATGCCTCATGCTGGTGAGGTAACAGTGTGCCCTTGCTACAACACTCACTGCTTACAATTTAATGTCCAGGAAATTGCTCACCACACCCTCCCTGCGTCCGCAATCCTTCCCCCACCAGACTGTAAACCCACAGATGGCAGGGACTGAATTTTTCATGACCACCCTTAAGTGCCTAGAATCCAACACTGTGCTTATGTTTGTTAAGTCACAATTCTTTTATTTTGTCTCTTTGAGACAGGGTCTCGCTATGCAGTTCAGGCTGGCCTTGAGCTCACTTTGTAGCCTAGGCTGGTCTTGAACTCTCAACAATCCTCCTGCCTCAGCCTCCCGAATTCGGGGATTATACCCATGCGCCACCACGCCCAGCTTAAGTCACAATTCTTATCTTTTATCCTGCAGTATTGTTTCCTGTAAGTCTGTCTCCATTGCTAGAGTGTAAGCTCTCTCAAGGAAGGGATCACACTTTGCCACTCCTGCTATACCATTTAGCACCAAGCACAGGACTTTGCAGATAGAACAAAACAAAATGAAAAAGGTTCTCAGAAAAAAAAAAAAAAAAAAAAAAAAAAGGTTCTCAGAAAAAAAAAAAAAAAAAAAAAAAAAAATCGATTGCAAGATGGGTGTGGGGGTGCACGCCTGTAATCCCAGCACTCAGGGAGGCTGAGGCAGGAGTTGGAGACCAGCCTGAACTGCATAGTAAGAGACCCTGTTTCAAAAAGAAAAAAATCAGTTGCATTGAATGTCTGAAATGAGCTCAAACCCAAAGCATCCAAAAGACTACCACTTAATATTTTTTAACCAACGTCTCCCTTCTCAGGCTTACTTAACCCCAAGTTCCTTGGCCGCTCAGGGCTCGGCTCCAGGTGGTACAAGATCAAGTTCACATAGATGTATGAAGCATATACTCTCTCCAGAAGAGCACAAATATGATAAATATGCAACAGGTCACTCTTGTCCTGAGCAAATCCCAGTGCCTGAGCCCTAGGAAGGATATAATTTCAAGCTCTTGACCTGGCAAAGAGGCCACGGGTCCTAGTGTCACCATCCTTTTGTGGCTGCCTGCTACTGAGCTCCCATTCAGATGGAATTCTGACAGCTGGAGGCTACCCCCATGCTCTCCACTTCGACTTACCTTGTAGGAAATCCTCCCGCAGGTTACCTCAGGACTCCTGGCAAACACTAACTGAAACCCTGCGCAGGAGGCGGCCAGCAGGCCAAAGATCAACCTCCTCGGGAGGGAGGAAAGCGCAGGCGTTCCAGGTCACCTCTCCGGAAGGTATTCCTCTCTCTCCACTACTGAGCATGGCTACTGACGGCCAGTATGCCTTTCTCCACTTTATAACTGGGCAGGGAAGATGAGGAGGCTGAGGGTTGCTCTTTCTTTTCCTTTCTTTTTTTTATTTATAGTCACAGAGCTTTCCAATCTTTCGCTGTGTAATCTTGGGCAAGCCCCTTACCTCAGAGACGTTTCTTCATCTATAGAACAAAGGTAGTGATCTTTGCTTATCTCCCTGAGACAGGCTCAAGTAACACAATGCATGTGAAAGCTCTTTCTACCCTGAAAAGCCTTGCGGATAGTATCGTTTTTCACACTACCTGTTCCTCCACTCTCATCTTCCAGATGAGGAAACCCAAGCTGGGGAAAGTAGCAGTCAGGAAGCGAGCCGGGTCTTCCGAGACCCGCCAGATAGTTTAGTAAACGGTAACCACAGGCCCAAACACCGCCTTTTTCTATTCCAGCTTGGGTTAAGAAAATCGTCTTTGAAATTTAGGTTCAACAAATAAAAGGGGCGGGGGCTCCTGGGTACAGCGAGGGGATGAACCGTGGAGACGACCTCAACACTGCGTCCCTGCTTCGGCAGCCTTCTCTCCCGGCCCCTGGACAGCGAGGTGACGGCCACTGATGGGCTGGCGACTGCCCCGGGCCGTCCGCCCCGCGTCTCCGGCTTTCGGCGCGGGTGAGGAGCGCAGGGGCGGCGGAGGGGACCGGGTATTATTAGCTAGTGGTCTCTGGCCCTCGTGGGGAGACCTGCGGGGAGCTGAAGCTATGAGCCGCCTTTCCAGCGCGCCGAAGGTCGGGTCTTGCCCTCTTGAGAACCCATTTCCTCGCTCAGCAGAGTTATGTTTATTTTCCCGAACTATAATGTTTCCCAGGTCGGCAGCTGGCCCTGGGCCACCGAACGGCCCCTTGGGAAAAGTAGTTCGATTTCGCTTCCAGGTGACTTTCTTTAGCCGGCTCTGCCAGCGCATCTCCTTCTAGGAAACCCGACATCCCAGAACTGTCCTCAAACACTCCGAAGGCTGAAGTCCAGCGACCCCCTTCTTCAGGTGTCCAGCGTCCCGCAGACGCGCGAGACTGAACGACTACACCTCCCGGCAGCCACCGCGCGTCTCAGTGCGCAGGCGTAGCCGCGCCTCACCACCCCTCCCCCTCCGCCAACCGCTCCCGTCGGTCCGTTCTCGTATTCCCCCCATCAGTTCTAAAGTCCCCCTCTGTCTCCTCGGCGCCTCACACTCACCGCTAACTCGCGGCGTCGGGTACAGACGCTGCGCCTTCTCCAGGAAGCGGAGCGCCCGATCGGGCTGGTTACTTTGGATGGCCTTGAGAGCGATGCTGATACAGCGCTCGGCTTCATCCTTGTTGGATTCCATGGCGGAACCAGAGCGCAGAACTAGGGAGGGGGAGGCCGAGCTAGCGAAGGGCTGCGCCAGCCGCTGGCGCGTCGAGGGGCAGGTCGGCGCACGCTGATGACACAGGCCCTCCGCCCCTCCTTTCCCGGGCTTTGAGGGAGAGTTGGGCGAGGGCGGAAGCGCTACCATATGTCTTCTAAGAGAGGGACCAGAAGCGTTATCGGTGCGTGCTACCGAGCCCTAGAATGCAAGGGTTTGGGTTCCGGAGGTCTTCAACTTGAGTGTGCTTGCACGTTACTGGTAATTAACTCTGTGTTTGAGATGAAAGTCGTTTATTAATTGAACAGATATTTATTGAGTATCCCCTTTATGCCAGGCATGGTTATATGATGGGTTACAGTGACGAACAAAAAAAGTTCCTGCTTTCATGGAACTTACATTCTAGAAAGCAGAGAAGCTGGGGAGTCATCCAGTAAACATACAGGGAGTGATAAATGCTATGAAGGGAAATAATGAAAAAAAAATAGGAATAGCGGATAGGAAGTGCTACTTTAAATTGTTTGATAAAGGAAACCCAGGGGCTGGGGATTTAGCTCAGCGGCACAGCGCCTGCCTGGCAAGCGCAAGGTCGTGAGTTCGATTCCCGGTACCGGGGAGGGGGGGGGGAACAAAAAACAAAATTAAAAATAAATAAATAAATAAAGGAAACCTAAAAGCTGCTATTACTAGGTACCTGGGATCCAGGTACGATGAGCAGACGTGACTGGAGGAAGCATGGTCCAGACAGAAGAAATGGCAAACGCAAGGGCTCAGAAATGGGAATTTCTGTTATTGCACAGACGAGAAGGAAACAACATTATAGTGAATTTTTTTTTTTTTTTTGGTCTTTTTGAGACAGGGTCTCGCTATGCAGTGCAGGCTGGCCTTGAGCTCACTTTGTAGCCCCGGTTGGTCTCGAACTCACAACGATCCTCCTGCCTCAGCCTTCTGAGTGCTGGGATTACAGGCGTGCGCCACCATGCCCAGCTAGGAAACTACATTATAGACAACACAAAAGAATCCATGCGGGAGTGAGTGCAGTTCTTTCCAGGCTACCATCCAGGGCAAGCTGTCTTGTCAAGGTGACCCATGACCACATTGCCAAGTCCATTGATAACTTCTGTTCTTATTTTGTTTGATCATTTGTGTAGAATTTGGCAAGAGGCTACTACAATAATTCAGACGACAGGAAGCTACTATTATAATGCAGGTGAGAATTAATGGTAAGGGGACAAGGATGATGGTGGAGGTGGTGAGAAGTAGTCAAATTCTGGATGGATTTTGAAGACCCAAAACAATTTTACCATGCAGTGAATGTGGGATTTGACAGAAAGAAGACTCAAGGATGATTCGGATGTTTTTGGCCCGAGTAAGGGAAAGCACAGAAGTTCCATGTACTAAAAATGGAGACACAGGGAAGGTTAGGAAAAGAGCAGTGTGTTAAGGAGGAACGTTCAGCGTTTGGTTTCGAGTATGTTAAGTGTGTGGTGCCTTCTAGAACTGCGCGGAGGCGTAGGTTAGGAAGTTGTGCATATGCAAGGCCTATGGAAGAAGCTGGAGGGCTGGGGAGCAGCTTAGAGGAAGAGTGCGTGCTTAGCGGGAACAAGGCCTGGGTTTGAGCCCCAGCGCCACAGGCAAACCAAGCAGCCCGCCACCTGGGGCTGCGGGTGTAGCTCAGCGGTAAAGTGCTTGCCTAGAATGCAGCAGGCCCTGTTTGAGCTCCAGAAGGGAGCAACCATTTCTTCTGGAAACTCTTGGTGGGTACAAATGATATTTAAAGCTGTGGGACTGAGGGCACCACGGAAGTGAGTGAAGATGGATGAGAGTAGGGTCTGGTTGCACCTCAGTACTTGGAGGTGTGGAACAGGAGGAGGCTTTAGGAAAGGAGAATGAAGAAGCGGCTCCTGAGGTGAGCACATGAGCTATTTCAGAAGCTGAGTGAAGCGGATGATGCACGTGGGGTGGAGCGGTCCGACCGTCACATCGCTGGAGATACCGCGCATATGAGGATGGAGAAGTGACCCGTGGACTTGCAGTGTGGAAGACCGGGGTGCGCTGCGTGCAGTTGCTTTTGGTGGATAGTAAAGGGAAGCCTGACAGAAATAGATTCAAAAGGGTAAAGGGAGGAAGAAGTGGATTATTACAGGGGAGGAATGCAGGTTCACACGGAATAGTTTTCTTTTCTTTTTTTTAGTTTTTAGTTTTTTGAGACAGAGTCTTACTGTGTAGTCCAGACTGGCCATGCTTGCAGCAGTCCTCCTGCCTCAGCCTCCTGAGTTCTGGGATTACAGATGTGCACCACCACTCCTGCCACACGGGACTATGTAGTGTTTTTTTGGGGGAGTGGATTTTAAAATGGGATCTATTACAGTATTTTGTGATAGGATTATAAAAAACGCGGATAAAGCAAATAAGAGAGGAGCTGGGTGTAGTGGCGCATGCCTGTAATCCTAGCACTTGGGGGCTGAGAATGGAGGAGCGTTACAACTTCAATGCCAGCCTGGGCTACAAAGTGAGCTCAAGGCCAGCCTAAGCTGCATAGCGAGACCCTGTCTCAAAAAGACAAAAAAGAAAAAAAAAAAAAAAAAGGAGAGGAAAGAGAGTAGATGGAAGAGGTGGGGGCTGGGGTATAAGGGAGACGTTGGCCTTAGCCACGTGGATACCCATTGATTTTCAGGAGGGAAGGTGATACAGTAGGTACACTGCAGGCTGGCAGTAGGTAGGGAAATTAGGTCATTAGGAAGTCCTCTTCAAACCCCTTTATGTTCTTTTTTTTTGTCTTTTTGAGACAGGGTCTCACTATGCAGTTCAGGCTGGCCTTGAGCTCACTTTGTAGCTCAGGCTGGCCTCGAACTTGCAATGATCCTTGTGCCTCAGCCTCCTGAGTGCTGGGATTATAGGCATGCATCACCATTGCCTTTATGTTCTCAGTGCATTAGAAAGCAAGGTCAGGGCCACCCCAGCTGCACATCCTTCACTACTTATTTCATATCCACGGGCTGGACATGGTGGCACACATCTGGAATCCTACTACTTGGGAGGCTAAGGCAGAAAGATTGCAAGTGTATTGCTAATCTGAGTTTAGTAAGACCTTGTTATGTGCGCGTGTGCTCACACACACGCATGCACACACACACATACCAAACTAAAAACAGAAGGCCTCACAAGCATTTACATCCAATTTTTATCTGGTACTTGTTTCTAAAAGGTGGCTTGCCTGCTAAATGTTACTGGATTTGGGTGCTCATCTGTCCAGCTGGAATTAAGTTCCAGGTTTTTGTCTTGAACAAAGAATTGGACGAAACGAGCAAAAAGCAGTGGCAAAGTTTATTTGAGAAAGTAGAAGTGAAGAGGGGGAGAGGAACTGGCTCTGCAAGGGGCGTGGGCTGAGTGAAGAGAAAAAGGGAGAGCAGGATAAACATGCGCGCGTGTGGGAAACGGCACAGGCTATTACAGAGTTATGAGAGCAAAGCCTTCACATTTCCCATGTGTCCTTTTATGCTGTCTAAATCTGGAGGAAACCCAAGAGAACATGTACATCCGGGTCCTGAGAGGCGGTGCTGGGATCCCAGGACTCAGGCTCTGTCAGGTCCAGGCCGTGCTATTGAAAACCTGCTCCATGCAGTTCTCAGGAGTCCACTGCAGGGCTTTGGGACCAGTCCAGGATCTTGTAGTCAACGGGTCAGACCACTGCCTCAGCCAGCTTTGCCGCCCTAATCTCCTACCTCACCGCCTTCCCTTCCATTTCCACTGTTAGCTGCCCAGTGCAAACCCTTATGACTCCAGGTGGTAAATACAGTAGGCAGCCTCACCTCAAAAAGACAGCTCTATACTGAGGGGAAGTTAAAATCTGCAAACTTTGATCGTCCCTACTGTGTTAATACGTAAAACTAGGGCAGCTTTTAAATATCCTCTCTCAGACTTGAGATCTCGTCTACTTCCTCAGTGTCGCGGGGCCCTTCTGCCGGCATGAGGCACTTCAGTCTGTGAAGAGGGTACTGGAGTGAAAGAGTCTGTAATTCTGGTGTGCTGGGAACTGGATCGTGATTGCCCTGCTATCGGCTGGCAAGCCCTCCCCGCCTGCAATGCTTGTAAAGTGGCAAAGCCTTATGTAGATTTTGAATCTGTCGCCAGTTCTTTGGCTCAGTTGGCGAGCAGCAGTGAGGAGCAGTAAGGGTCAGTAAGGAGCTGGAAGGCAGTTGGGCGGTAGGAGCATTTTGTGCCTTCTCACATTCTCTTCCTACTCTGCTGCTGAGCTCCCTGCGTGAGCTGTTTCTACCCAGAAAGGCTTGGTTGTTTCCGAAGGGATTATGAGCTCAAGACTGGTCTAATCAGTCTCTATGTCATCACCCCTACCTTTCTTTTTTTTTTTTTTTTTGAGACAAGTCTGTGTAGTTCAGTCTGTCCTTGAGCTCACTATGTCATGCAAGATGGCCTTGAATTTGCAGCGATCCTCCTGCCTCAGCCTCCTGAGTGCTGAGATTACAGACATGCACCACCATGCCTGGCTTGTCTTAGTTTCTGAAACTAATTTGATTTTCCAGGGCACCTTCTCAGTCCAAAGACCAGGAGGAGACTACACCCCTGTTCAGTCCACGTTCAACGTTATAGTCTTTGGTCTGTAGATTTTGCTTAAATATGAAACTGATATTCCATCTGGGCATGGTGGTGCATGCCTATAATCCCAGCACTCAGGAGGCTGAGGCAGGACGATCGTTGTGAGTTTGAGACCAGCCTGGGCTCCAAAGTGAGCTCAAGGCCAGTCTGAACTACACAGGGAGACCCTGTCTCAAAAAAGAAAAAAAAAAAAAAGGACAAAATATTGTAATTGCCTCATTCACCGATATCCAGAAGTCACTAGAAAAGTGAATCTTACACCAAACCTCAGCATCTCATTTTGCTCCTAGACTTCGAGCACCCCTGTATTAGGTGACCCTCAGCCCCTCTCCTCAGGGGCTTCTCAGAATGCAGAATCTGACTGGGACAGGCTTTTTTTTCCCCTCGTATGTTTCCCAGTGCTACTAAGACACAGCTACCCTTCCCCTACCTCTAAGCTAAGGTAACAACTGTCCCCCTTAGTGATCTTTCCCCTCTTGGTCCAAATCTAACCCATTCTTTGGGGCTCATCTTAAACTCTACCCGCTGCAAAAGAAGAGAGAATGTAACAGTTGCATGTCTGTGCTGTGCGTTGGGCCCTGTGTGGAGGCGCACTGTGAACAGACTGCCTGATACTGGGGAGTGTGGTGGGGTAACTACGGGGCAACACCCATCCGAACTGAGTCAGCGAGGTGCTGGGTGCGGAAGGCCCACCTGAGGAGTGATTGTTGCTGACAGCATAAAGGAGAACTGGAGGGGACGATGGTGCTGTTGATTCTCCTGGAGAAGCTTGTCGTGCTGGTTTTCCTGATATGAACTCAGCTGTTCTCTTCGTTGGAGGAGCTCGGGTCTTTGCTGTCACTGAGGATGGCTGTGGTACCTTTCAGGGGAGCTCTGGTCCTTACTTTGAGCATCGCTTCCTGGCTCCAGTGCAGATCCTTCAGCTTGCTGGCACAGATCCTTCATCCCGCTGGCACAGACTTTCTAGCTTCCACCACTGACCTGTGGGCCTTCCCAGCGCAGATCCTTGGTACAGATTTGCATGAGACATTGCTGTGGGCTCTGGGCCTCCACTGGACTTGTGCCGGACATTGCCTTGGAATCCAGGCCCCCAGCTGGATTCTTTGGGCTCTAGTGTGTGGACAGATCTCCCACACTCTTGCATTAGACTCTTTGGGTGAATATTATTGTTGTTGTTGTTATTGTTATTATTATTATTATTTTGGTACTGGGAATTGAACTCAGGACCTTGTACTTGCTAGACAGGCACTTATGCCACTGTGCTATATCCCTGGCCCTGGGTGAATATTATAAAATAATGCTGTAAGTTGTGTGTCCTGTGTTAAATCCTTCCCCTTGCAAACCCTGACTACAGCAGGGAGCCGGTCCGGTGAGGGGGTGGGTGTAGAGAGTAAGGGCCGCGGGGAGGGTGGCGGTGGGTGAGGCTCGGAGGTGTGGCTGTCAGGTCAGTGTAGTGGGGAGCTGCGCAGGACTGGCCCGAACCTGGGGCTGGGCTGAGGACAGGCAATCCCAGGCATTCTCCCTGCTTTGTAGTGGTCAAGCCTCGGCCCACTATGGAAAGGCCCTTCCGTGCCCTTAGCCTGTGAGTCTCCAGTTGAACCAAGGTGGAGCCCCTGCCTGCTTTCCCCTGGCCTGAGCACAGGGCCTCAGGTCTCACAGGGGCTTGCCGCTTGTGGAAGGGGTAGAATCAGAGAACCTCAGAGGCGGGCTCTTCTCACCTCCCACATCTTCCCCACAGCTGTGGAGTAAGGAGAGAGAATCCCTCTTTACACCTTCAGGAAGAACTGCCAAGGCGCTGGGATCTGCCCCACTTCACATCCCTTGCTCTTCTGCTCCCCGGCTGCTCAGTGTCCCCTGCTGCCTCCAGATGTGACTGCCCCGCAGGGCCTCCCTTGGTGAAACGCCAGGCTCCGAATTCCCTCAGTGCTCTTACTGATAAAATCAGGGTTGATCCCAGCCCACGGGGAAGGAATGAGCTAAGTGTGGACTGTGGAAATGGAGGCATCATTTGTTGGGGGCGAAGCTGTCCGCACCTCGGGTATCTAGGACAAGGCCACTGCTTCTCATGAGTTTGGCAGGGCCCCATGAGAAGTGTGCATGGCTCAGGGAGCTGTTGCCTTAGTGACTTGACCTTCACTTGAGATAATATAGACAGTTTCCTCTTGCTCCCTGTGAAGCCACCAGGGATGCTGTTCTGCTGAAGATTAGATACTCTTTCGGTCTCAGATTCCACCCTCCCTTGAAACTCTCCATGAACGTATGTGTCTTACTTTTCTCTCGTCGCTGAGACAAAATACTAGACACCCAAAATTAAGGAAGGAAAGGTTTATTTAGCTCACAGTTTTTAATCAGCTGGCTCCAAGGCAGGTGGCAGGTGGCGCAGGGCCAACACTTCAAGGCAACAGAGTACAGCAAAAGCAGCAAGAGCAAAAGAGGGAAGAGCAAGCCTCTTTTCCTCTCTTACAGTGTATGCATTCTACCCGCTCTAGGGCAGGTGTAGCACTCACACCATCTCCATGCCCTCCTCTTGCACAGGATGGGGATGTTTACAAAGTAAGGACCCTGGCTCTCTGCTGAGTTGCTTAGTTAAACTTCTAAATTCAGTTGAACTTAGTTAAACTTCTCAAGTTGGTACAATGTATCAACCATTAAAGTATTCATATGCTGATTGTATAAATAAATGTGCTGCAGGTGCCCGACTGTTCCTTTCTCCCATCGGGAGAGAGGGCTCCACCTGACCTCAGCTTTCTGCATGTTAACTTGTTTTCTCCATCCCCCACCCTCCTCCCTCCAGAGTTTCAAAGCTTCGCTGGATGTGGCAGTCATTCTGGGCCCCGCATCAACCTGCCCATTCTGCCTTCTCCTCCCACAGCGGTGGTCCCTGCACCAAACAACTGTAAGGACAAATTGCTGAGATGCGCCTCCTGAAAATTAAACAACCCAAGCTGGGTGTGGTGGCACACGAGGTTGAGGCAGGAGGATTGCTGTGAGTTCAAGGCTAGCCTGGGCAACATAGGGAACTCAAGGCTGGTCTGAACTACACAGCAAGACCCTGTCTCAGAAACAAAAAAACAACAGCAATGTGGTGGGCTGGGGGCGTGGCTCAGCAGTAGAGCACTTGCCTAGCATGCGCAAGGCCTGGGGTTCAACACAAAATCGCAACAAAACACTGCAGAAAGTACAATGGTGTGACATGATTTGTAGTGCCTGGCTTATGCCTCCTTCCCAAAGGCAGGCTGCAGAAACTCTGATGTCCTTCCTTTCTGCCTTGGAGCTGGCCATAAATCAATCCCGTGACCTACCTTGTCTGATAGCAGAGTATAAGACTACCTATTTCAGCAGGGGTCCTGCTCTGCAGCTGGGAGAAAGGAATGCTGTACAGAGAGCAGCACAAGAAGAATCTGAACAGACGGGCCTTGCTGGGTTTCCTCACCCTATTAACAAGTAGGTCATAATCCTTTTGCCCTTGCGTTTCTGGAGATTGAGCCCAGGCCCTTTCACACATGCTGTGCAAGCATTCTTTTTTTGTTTGTTTGTTTGTTTCATTTATTTGTTTTGTTTTGCTTTGAGACAGTGTCACCCCACGTAGCCCAGGCTGGCCTCAATTTCACAGGAATCCTCCTGCATCAGCCTTCTACGTGCTGGAATTATAGGTATGTGCCACCATGCCTGGCCTTGTGCAAGCACTTTGAACCACTGGCTACACTCCCAACCCTTTTTATTTTATTTGTCTATATATTTAGCAGTACAAGGAATTGGACCCAAGGCCTTTGTACTGAGCTACATCCCCACTTTTTAAAAAACGTTTTAATTTTTTTTGTTGTTGTTTTTTGTTTGTTTGTTTGTTTTTCCGGTACTAGAAATCGAACTCACGACCTTGCGCTTGCCAGGCAGGTACTTGTGCCCCTGAGCTAAATCCCCAGCCCCTAAAAAATGTTTTAAGATAGGCCCTTGCTAAGTCACTAATTGCCCAGTGTGGGCTCTAACTTGTGATCCTTCTGCCTCAGCCTCCTGAGTAGCTGAGAGTACAGGTGTGTGTTGTACCTTTTGTACAATTCTTTTTGTCCAATCATCTCCTTTTTGTCCAATCATATTCTTTTCCTTTTGCTTTTGCTTTTACTCTGTTTTTAGTTGCACTTTCGCGTTGGGCTTCACTAAGTTATCTGTGAGTGGCCATGTGAATGTGTCCCCACAGCACTTTCCTGCTTTGTCCCTGCTCTCTCTCCTTCCCCCAGAGAGGAGGAGCCCCTGTACTGCGGGAGGGCCTGAGGCGCCACCCTTGGTCCGTCTCTTGGCTGTTGCACCCAGGAGAGGGCTGGTTCATTTGGACTGTAATTCAAAGTCCTTTCGCTTTGAAGTTCTCTACTCCCAGCCTCCCTCAGGGAACACATGGAGGAGCTGATGTTACTTTCTCTTTTTTTGAATGAGACAGGATCCCACTCTGCAGTTCAGGCTGGCCTTGAACTCACTACGTAGCCCAGGCTGGCCTCAAACTTGCAGCGGGCTGCCAGAGATCTTCCAATGCCAGTTCTTTGACCAAGTCAGGACCGGCAGCGGGTGCCTGCAAAGCAGGGACTGCATGGGACGAGTGTGCGGGCTCTCCCTCTATCTCTATTAATCACAGCTCTCCAAATATTCATTGTGCTATTGATAAAGGATGGGTGGGAACCTGAAGGATCAGAACTGAAAGTAGTTAAGGAACGAGAGCCCGGGATGAAAGGCACCCCTCCGGGGTTGAAAGGGGAAGTAAAAGCCGCCACAGAGATTTGCGTCAGTCCCCTGCCTCCTGTGTGGCGGTGTTCGCCCACCAGCATGGGAAGGGAGCGCTGCGTGGGCCTCAGTGCGTGGGAGAACATTAGGTGAACGCCCTGTGTGTGCTGGACTGGATCTAGATGGAGGTATTGTAAGTGTGGGTCTTGTTGTCCAGTGGACAAGTGAACAATCCTGTGAAAAGTTATACCTAATCGAGAACACCTAGTGATTGATCTTTTTGCTTCCTTTTATGTGCTTTATTTTTTTTGTTTGTTTAGTTTTTTTTCGTTTGTTTGTTTTTCTTCCGGTACCAGGAATCAAACTCACGACTTTGTGCTTGCCAGGCAGGT